GCCTTTATTTTAAAAATGCTACATGTTTTTTTTTTCTTTTGCTTAGAGAGGTTATTCTAGATCATTTCTTCAAGATACGTGCAGTTTAATGCAAAACGATTCCAGCAAGTTTTTTTTACCCATACTGAACGTGAAAATGCTTTGAAGTCCATGAAACTGTAGGATAACCCATATCAAAAATATTATATGCAAAATAAGTCGTAGTTCAATTATGTCTGTGATCACACAGAACTTATATTTGTATTTTCCCTTGAAAAATCCCCCAAATGTGTCTTTTTAGCTGCTTCTTTTTTTCTATGCAGGTTTTTCTAGATGATTTCTTCAAGATATGTGCAGTTTGATGCCATTTCCTGACCAGATGGGATGCAACAAAAGTTTCCAGCAAGTTTTTTTTTTTTACCCTCACTGAAAGCAAAAATGCTTCAAAGCAACAACCATAGACAGTATAAGAAGTGGACAGAGCCATCTCATTGGAACTCAGTTGAGACAGTTGAAGCCCATTTTTAGCGATTTTTGAGCACTTCCGTTCCTGACGCGCAGACTCAAACCGACTCAAACTAAGCTTGATGACGTGAGCAACCTGTCTGACAGACGTAAATCTTCTAGTAGCTGTGCCAAGAGGAATCTGAATCATTTCCTTCCGAATCTTGCAGAGCCGGAGATCGTGAGTATTAGCTGTCCATGAGCTCGCAGCAGGAGCAACTTTACAACTCTCTATGGGCTTCTCCCTTGACTTTATGCCTCCACGTCCCCCCGATTGCCTGCGAGCTTCTCCTCCTGTCTATACGGTAATTTTCTCTAGTGTGCGCCAGAGAGTCGCGTGTTAAGACGCAATCGTTAGCCTATTTTTACAAAAACGGCTTCTACGGGGCCATAACGTAAGATACAAAGTATGGAGCCTTTTATACATTGTCGTGTTTCTTTAGAAATAAATAATGGACAAATGGAGTCTTTAAATGCCTCAGATGTAAAGTTATTCACTGTCAAAGTGACGCCAAAATGAATGGGAGTCGATGGAAATGCTAACGCAAGTGAAGTTCTGCTACAAGATGGCGGCACCCGGCCGGCTTCAACTTCCGGTCGATGGATTACCCCCTTGGCAACAACGTGAAATCCACATATAACTGTAGGGTATTTGTCACTTAATGACTCGCCTGTTCAATGCCACCTATGTGCCTTTTTTGAATTACATTTTATAGTGGTCTATTTTTTATTAGCATTGAACAGATAGAATACCACAAAATTCAACAATACAAATACCAAAAAAGCCTAAAGGGTTTTAATAAAAAACGTACAATAAAATATAATAAATAGAAATAATAAAAAGAATTCAGTCACATTTTCAATTTTACTAAGAACAGGCAAATACTACATTGCAAAATAAAATAAAAAAGCTTTATAAAACGGATAGTTCCGGTCCTTTATTCTGATTGGTTGAGCCGCGTTCAAAGTAAGGAATAATTAATGAGGGGCCGTTGAATTATTTGAAAAATAATACACACCCGAGGTGGAAATGCTTGAGTGGGAGAATGGGAGAAAGAGAGTGTGCTTTCCGTACATAAAAAAAAAAAAAAAAAAAAATTGTGGCAGTTTTTATCCTATTGTTAACTATATTTATTTGCTTGTTGTAGTCTGTAGGACCTTAAAATAACTGAAATCATTTGGCGAAGTGATATGTACTGTAATGCGGTCAAGGAACTATACTTTAGCCGTGCGTTTCCCTGAAAATATTTGCACACCTTAGAACGTTTGTCAACCAATCAGATTCAAGCATTCAACAGCCCCGTAGTATAAACCATTGTAAATTACTCTTATTGCTTTAGTCTATCTTGTGTTGTGCCTGGTTAGGACATGTGTTAGTTTGGGTGCATAATAATAGAACAAAGATGAGAACAAAGAGTGAATTGTCGTCATTAATGGCTCATTATTTAAAAGATCTATTAGCCTGCAGACTGCAATTGCAGTCGCCTCTCTGATAGCTTCGGTTTTATACATATGTTTCAGTGTGAGCCTTTTGAGAAAGCCTCATGTTTATGTATTGCAATATCACCCTTGAATTTCTAAAGTATCTGATCAGTTGCAGAACTTGAGATGTGAAAACAACACAACCAAAGGATCTTTCAGCAGTTCTCTGACATGGACTGACAAAGACATCATTAACTGATGGCAAATAGACCCAACTAGTGTTTCAAATATCAAAAATCAAAGAAAACCAGTCTTATTTGTTACAAATCACCACTGCATTAACAGTCATCTGACATTCAGCAATAGGTGTTAAACTAAAGCACTTGCGATGTGTCGTTTGTGTTCCAGTAATTAGCATATTCATTAGTGCGATTTGCATTGATTAAGTTGATTTATGCAAGTATGTATCAGCATAAAAAGGAGATGCAGTGAGTTAAATGACAGGCACCAAAAGAATACGCTAATAATTCAAATGCAAGACAGCAGAGGTCGTACGAATGTACAGTACAGCGTATAATTCAATTTAAATTGATCTCGATTATCACAATATTTTATAGACTAATATTTTAGGGTGTGTCCACTCTTGTAGTTCGGTTCGCTTTGTTTCGTTGGTCCAAACCAAAAAAACTAAAATATTCAGTTCTGGACCGATCAGTGTTCACATTAGCATTTGAACACCTAACCTAAAGATACCGAACCTAAAGGCACAGGGATATGTTCACAACCTGATTGGTCTGCTTTTATTACGTAGTATATTTCGCGACGGAACTTACAGAACATCAAAAACAATGCTGTGTTCTGGCTAAATGCGCTCGTTGTATGTGTGTGTCTGCATATGATGGTATTTAGACTAGCTGAGAACTTGTGAAGAGCTTATAAAATGTGTAAAGGAGTCAAAACACACAAACACAGATCTGCTGTGAGGAGACGCGGTTCTGATGTCTGTACTGAACTGTGATGGGCAACATCATGACTATGACGAGAGAGAAAAAAAACAGGCAAACCTGAGCATTCTGTCCTTTTTAGGGTGACATCTTCAAGTCCTGTTTTTGGTTCGTTTACATGTCTTTGGTCCGTATTGCATTCATATTTTATTATTACATTTTTACATTCGTTTGTTTGTAAGCGGAGTGAGACTCATCTTTTCAGTGTTCTCGGTCCGCTTTTTTTATTGCACAACAGGGTTCAGATGGCAGCGCTCACGCTTATTCAAATGAACCGCACTAACAGAGCAATCGCACCAGGGTTCGTTTTAATCCAACCAAACATCCCAAGTGTGAACAAACACACCCTTAGAGTAAAGTGAAAATTGAAGATACATATGAGTGCATGTTACTAGTGCTATAAGTGTGCACTGTTTTTGTAGCGTTTGTGTGTTTGTTTGAGTTTGATGCGCACATGTTGAACGAAGAAGATCGTCAACTAGGCACAATCTTTTCATGTCAATACTAGTCTCTCCCCTGCAGAGTAATCTGTAATCAGGGCGAGGGTAGAGAGAGATAGTGAGCATGGGTGGGTGTGTGGATGTCTCGGATAGACGGCGGCTTTGTAAAAGGTTTTTTGGGTGAGTGGACAGCAAACAAGGAAATGAGGGTGATCAAGAAAGGAGGAGAGCACACAGGGCCAGCGAGAGAGATTTATAGCATGCCTAGACTAAAAGCACTTGGGAAATTATGCAAAATTGCAAACCTAAAACACTCAGCAAGTAGCACACCGAGCAGTCGGAATATTTCTAATGAGCGCTAAATTAACGCCATGATGTCTGGTGATGGATTTGAGACAGACATTAACCTCCAATCAGACGTTCTTTGAAATGCCTAGAGAAGATCACAGCTATATTAGCATTTGAGTGTCAACGCTGTGATTAAATGCCTTCATTAATAAAAACCTCTGTCTGATTAGAATGCCGGCTGAAGCGTTTTGTGTGTGCACATGCATGTATTCATCATAAGTATTTTTTTTTTATACCATTTCAGATTTAAGAAATGGATTTCAAACGCCACTCAAGTAAGCAACCACACCGTTTTCTTTACTGCATATGCAAAATGAGCAAGTTGACACGGCCATACACCCAATCCACGCATGTGGCCACATTTTTCAAGAGTTTGGGGGCTTGCAAACAACCCAAGACTGGCAAAGAAACTGAGCGTCATTTTGTACAAAATTAAATGCTGCACTAATGACCCAAATGAGTCACAAAACCACAGAATAACCATTATTTTCTAGGATATATGGGGTGAAGACACCCAACTTGTGATTTAAGACACTTTTATCCAAAGTGTACTATCTGGAGTATGTGGTGTGTTGCTTAAAGATATATAGTTTAACTATCATTTACTCACCCTCATGTCATTTCAAACCCGTATGATCTCATTTGTTCTGTTGAACACAAAAGAAGATATTTTCAAAATGTATCTGTTTTTTTTTTTTTTTTCTGTCCATAGAATGAAAGTCATTAGGGTCCCATGTTGTTTTGGACCCAAATGGACCTTTGATTGTATAGAGAAAAACAGCTGAAACACTCTTTAAATATAGCTTATAATTCATACAGGTTTGAAATGATGAAAGATTTTGCATTTCTGAATGAACCATCAAACACAAGCTCATGGCAATTTCTAACTATTGTACATTTTGGCGAATTGGTGGATAATTCATACAATTTCATTCATATGTTTTTAACGACCTGCCTACGCCCGCACTGACGGTTATGTTTAGGGGTGGACCTTCATGCTTAAATTTTTCTAAAACTTGTATGTTTCCATATGAATCAAATTCATATATGAAGTCGGCACCTTGTAAAAAAGGTACATTTTCTCAAGAGATCGGGCTGGAACTATCCCTCATAAAAGTCTTGTGGGGTTCGAACCCATAACCTCATTTCGCTTCCAGCTCAGATCTTGAACCACAAAGCCACATTTTCTTAACCAGTAGCCAACCCGATAACCTCAAAATCTCGTCCCTAACCCTAACTTCCAGGTGTCACAGTTTGGAAAAAGCAAACCCACATCCTCGGACACACATATACATCCACTCACCGCCATCGTCCTCATCGAAGGAGTTCATGCAGGGGAAGTAGATGGCCAGAGCCTCAAAGGACGCGGACAGGCTGATGCGACTCTGTGAGCGCTCCATGTAAAGGCCCGGCGTGGGTGCCGGCGCCGTGTCCGCAGGCTTGGGCAGGCGTGCCTGGGCATTCTTCACGCGGAGCACGGCACGCGGCGTCTTGGCTAACTTTCACCGGCCCCTTCGCCAGCCACGAACAAGAGAGAAAAACAAACCCCAAAGCACCCTCGTACGTCCCTGTGGACCTGGTATGGGTTCAAGAATCCTGTGAAGATATAATGTCCAGACTTCTTTTGGTGTCTGCAAAGTCCTTGTTTTGTTTTGTCTCTGTCCAGGTCTTCAGGACAGAGAATTAGGACGGATGGAGTCTCATCTCAGAAGCTGATGTCTCAGAGCTGTCCTGGATCTGCTTCAGAGAACATGATCTGTTGCTTTTCTGTCTAGCTGATCCCTCACTGGGCTATGCACTGGATAGATGGATGGATGGATGGATAGCATATAATGCCGTGTGTGTGAGAGAGAGGAGGACAAATGGAGAGAAAGAGAGAGAAAGAGAGAGAGAGGAGAGATGGGATTGAAGAGACAGACGGAGAGAGAGAGAGAGAGAGAGACAGACGGGGAGAAAAGGTTCTTACTATTCTAGCAGTCTGAGGCTGATTCACTTCATTCAGCGCTGAGCTCTTTGTGGAGACAAAAAGGGGGAGGAGGCACCCAAGAGCTGTTGCTGGGATTCAGGATACTAGCCAATCACAGGCCAGATGTCTGGATATGGGCGTGGCCACAGTCTACAGGCACAATAACTGTGAATATCTTTCATCCGTTCACAGACATCGACCGGCTTGCTAACACGGTGAAGTGAAAGCTGGTATAGATTTCAGACATGGTTTGATTGCCATATGTTTTTGCAAGAGTAAATCACACGCATTCACAAAAAAAATATGCAACAGTTGGCTATTTACTAAGATGTATTAAATCAGTAATGTTTTGAATATGAATGTCAAAATAAGTACTCTAATCCCCCCCCCCCCCCCCCAAAAAAAAAGATTTGAAGGATTTCACAGATAAAAGAGTTTTACTTAATTATTTTTACTGAATAACTCATGTTTTATTGACAATAATACATTTAAATAATAAATTAGGTTAATACAAAATTTGTACTCATCCACCAGTTTGTAATTTTTTTATTTTTGTTTTGCACTTAATTCTTACACACACACAATGTTATTTGCTAACTAGTTTTAGTTGTCAACTAAAACTATTCATTTTAGTTTATTTCAGCTTAATTTCAATTAAGTAAGAAAAATTATTTGAAATAAAATAAGTTGAAGTACTAACATTACTAAAACTAACATTTAAATAAAAATAAATCTAAGCTAAATAGAAAAAACAGAAACTAATAAAATTGACAAAAGCACATAATTTTAATATAAAAGCCAGGCTAATTCAAACTATTAATAAATACTATCATTTTATATAAATAATAAAATAACAAAAATAACTGGTTATTTGAGCTGTATATTTTTCTAAACCACCTACTTTAGTGGGACTTATTTTCTAGGTTTGAACTTAGTTCATTTATATTAACATCCTTTCCTAGTATGTTTGATGTGAATAGACATAAGAAAAATGGTTCTAAACAGAACCAGATTAGGGTTCTTCAGCTTGTAACAATAGCAGAACCCTTTTATAAGGTTGCATAAAGAATCATGCTTTGTAAGTGCAATAAAGAACCTTAATGGTGTTATGGTAATGGTGGTTTATTTTCATTAATAATATTTTTTTTATATTTTTGTTAATATTATGCTTGCTACCCCTCTATTTACATGGTTTTATAATACCTAGTTGCCTCTATTGTGGTTTTACATTAAAAATGACAGTTCTAAAACAACAGTTATTAGCTGAATACACAATTGACATGCATATACATAAAGAAAAGAAAAAAAACCATAATGAAATAAAGGCCAAATTCCAGTGAAATATCTTCATTATGCTCTATGTGAAATATAGACAAGGTTTACCTGTTTTATATGTAGGCTACCTTTCATTTGTTTTTAAAAACTGAGGAATGGTAGAAACAGCATCCATGAACAGGCCTGTTGCATTTGACTCAATCATTGTATGTTGTAGATTGAAGTAAATAGCAACAGAATGACAGTAAAACCACCACATTTGTTAGAGAATAACCTCTGATGATTGGCAATTTAAACATAGCCATTGACAGCACCCGTGGGCTTCAGCTGTATTGAATTGTACCTTTAAGAAGCGGAATAAAAGGATGACACTGCTAGCTGAGAACAGTCATCTTCTGTTAAAGTCGCATTTTTTCTTCTGTGTGTCTGGCAAGAGAGGCTAAGTGTGTGTGTGTGTGCGTGCTGAAAATGTCACCTGTGCCACCTCAATGAACAATCACAACTCTACTGCAAATAATAAACGCAGAAGCATCACTCATATTTATGAACGCCTCATAACCGATGCTGACAATCTCTGCCTCTCTCAAAGTGCTTCCTGTCAGTTTTTGAATAGATTTATGTATGGTTTAGCCTCAGCAGGGTTGCCAACGTTCATCAGATTGTATGATAACCCTCATTTATGTACTATATTTTAAAATTTTAAGACAAATTTGTAGTTGCTTTGTGGTTGCTGGATTGTTCTGGGTGGTTGCTAAGGTTTTCTGAGTGTCTGTTAGCACACTGCTATATGTAGTTGTAAGGAAGTTTTAAGGAGATGTTGCTAAGGTGTTTTGGGTAGATGTTGTATTTCAAGTACCACAGTATTATCACACTGTACCATGTTACTGTCACAGTAAGGTTTTATAAAGGTAATTATTTGGTCACTACACAAAACAAAGTACCAAAAAGTAACATGATACTGCCCATTAGCTTTGAACATGTACCATAGTAATCTTGGAAGTACCTTGGAGCAGTGATAAAGCTGAAATAAAATAAAATATAAATATACTAAAATATAAAAATTAGATAAAAAAATTAAATGTTGTTTTGACAGCTAACTAAAAAATAAATAAGTTGTAATACTAAAATTACTAAAATTTCAATCAAAATAACTTAAAGCTAATCAAAAGTGACAAAACCACATAACAAAATTACCAAAATTTTAAAATAAAATTAAATAAAAGCTAATTCTAAATATTATAATATTAATAATAAATCATGCTAAAATAACATTGCCTTGGAGCATCAAGGAACCTCCATCTGATACCATCACTGAACCACAGACTAATAAAGTAATTTATTGTGTGAGATATTATGAATAATGCAAGTTTCAGGGATGTGATTGTGCGAGTGAAAAAAGCAGGAATTTTTTTAAGACCCAGTGTGAAGCACTTTTTGTTTTTTTAAACACCTGAATCAGCCATTTACTGCATGAACTACCAGGAACTGTGAAATATATTTAACAGCTATAATTTATTTCTAGTATACAAAACAGGACGCCTTAACATCTTTGGGAAAATGTAGGGCGATAAGTGCTATTCTGTAAATAAAACAACTGTGCTTCCAATACCGATCAATCTCATTCAGTAAATAAAACTCCACTCAAACTTATACAAATCATTGCAGAGAAAGGTTTTGGTCCATGAACTTGAACCTGAACCCACAAGAGGCCTGAAACAGTGTAACAAAATTGCACAAACATGCATTACTTCAAATTATTTGTTTTATTACTGATCTGCATGATTCATGTGGGTCATGATTTTAGGCCGAAATAACCGGAATTTCGGATTAATCCGGAAGAATCACATCCCTGAAGTTTGCTGTGTGTGTGTTCTTGTATATATGGTTTATGAGAACACAAATGTGTATAATGACATGGGTATTAGAACATAAACATGGTTTAAACCAAATGGCTTAAAATTCATTGAAATTCAAAATAAATTCTGTGATGGGTAGGGTTAGTGTAAGGGGATAGAATAGACCGTTTAAAAACCATTACGTGTGTGTGTGTGTGTGTGTGTGTGTGTGTGTGTGTGTGTGTGTGTGTGTGTGTGTGTGTGTGTGTGTGTGTGTTAAGAGTTGTCTCGTATCGTAGCCAATGGTTGAGTTGGTTTTTGTTCAGTGCTTCACTGACCTTTTACCATGTTGTTCCTCCTACCAGCAGGACCCAGGGGAAAGGGGCCGTCTCACGGTGATGACATATTAAGTGCGAGACATCAATGAAACCTGACAGATGCTGGGAGTTAAAGTGAACACAAGTTTGTGTTAGAAGGAGACAACATACGGGAGGAAGAGAGAGAGAGAGTCAAATTAGGGCAGGATTGTTCTCTCCTTCCAAGAAACAAACAACATGTACTTGCAACAGTCGACACCCCTTCTGTTCAAAGCCCCTTCTGCAGAAACCATTATCATGGTGTGAAATTCCAAAAGAGAATTACCATTGTAATGTGTTTCTGTGATGCCCAGAAACCCTCTTGCTCTATTATATGATAGACATTATTAAAGATCTGTACAAGTTCATCAACCCCCCCAAAAATTGACCCACACTGTATTTTTTTTTTTTAATTTACAGGTAACGGTCTGTATTTTTTTTTTTACAGAATTTTGCCATTTTGTCATTATACAGTGAATGCCTGTTATTTTACAGATATTTGCTGTAATTTAAAGGTCCACGATTACATTTACAGGTAATTGCTTGTATTTTGTTTTTACATCAATTTTACGTTTTTTTTTTTAAAGGATACAGTCCTTTTTTAAAGGATACAGTCTAAAGGATATTTTTAGAGGGTTATGTGTAATTTTACATAAATATTAATAAGGGTGGAAAAGAACAAGGAATAACTTTATTCTTATGAACCAATGGACCAATGGTTTAACCAACCCAGTTGCATAAACTCCCACTCATACAAGTCTGGAGAATCATGACTGTTAACGAAGAGGGAGGGATTATCATTAATTTGCCAAAATCTGTAGAGTACAAAAAGACGAAAGGGCAGCATCTCAACAGTGTGACTAGCTGTTGAACAATGGCAGGAAGTTGGTATGCTGTTCAGTCTCTGGCACTTTGTGTTTGGTTCGGTGCTTTCTGTCATGCTGTTCCAAAGTGGAGTAATCTTCCCCAGAATCCTCAAACTCTGATGTTCCAGCAAACAGACCAGCGGTTTCAACAACCAGTTCAACAGCAAGCTAGTCAACAGTTTTCTCCGCAGTTTCAACAGTTAGTTCAACAGCAAGCTAGTCAACAGTTTCCCCAGCCAGTTCAACAGCAAGCTAGTCAACAGTTTCCCCAGTCAGTTCAACAGCAAGCTAGTCAACAGTTTCCTCAGCAGTTTCAGCCTAAGCAGCCAGTGGCACAGGCAGAGCCCCTTGACAAATGTACTGTAGCTGATTATGAGCAGATCCAATGTGGACCACCTGGTATCAGTGGTGCTGAGTGTGCAGCTATCAACTGCTGCTTTAACGGACAGCAGTGTTACTATGGGAAGGCAGGTAAGAGTGTTGAGTCAATGTAAAGGTGTTCATGTTAAACTGATCTTCAGCAATAACCTGCTCTTGTACCTTGTTTCAGTGACTGTCCAGTGTATAAGAGATGGTCAGTTTGTGGTAGTGGTGGCCAGAGACGTTACGCTGCCTCGATTGAGCCTGGATTCAGTCCGTCTCCTGGGTGGAAATGATCCAGCTTGCAGTCCTGTGGGATCCACACCTTTCTTTGCTATATATCAGTTCCCTGTCACTGCATGTGGCACAAGCATGATGGTGAGTAGCTGCTTGTGGTTTTGTTCTGCATGGCTTGGAATGGACTGGATGCCAACGGTTACTATTTGCAGGAGGACAGTGGATATGTGGTGTATGAAAACAGAATGACCTCCTCGTATGAAGTGGGTATGGGACCACTTGGTTCCATCACAAGGGACAGCCATTTTGAGTAAGTGATGCATGCTTTATCATAAATGTTAATCCTGGACAAATGCTACAAGCTCACTGTTTGTTGTCCAGGCTTCTCTTCCAGTGTAGGTACTCTGGTACTTCTGTGGAAGCTCTGGTTGTGGAGGTCAACACTGTTCCTCCACCTCCACCAGTAGCTGCTCCTGGACCCCTCAGAGTGGAGCTTAGACTGGCAAATGGTCAATGTGTCACCAAAGGCTGTGCAGAAGGTAAGTGTTTGTCCCAAGTATATGCCTAAAGCCTTTCTAAAACTCCAGTTTGCAGCAGTTTCAAGTTAAACACTGTATTCTTCCTCAGGGGACGAGGCGTACACGTCCTACTACAGTGATGCTGATTATCCGGTCACAAAAGTCTTGCGGGAACCTGTGTATGTTGAGGTGCACATTTTGGAGAGGACCGACCCCAACATTGTCTTGATGCTGGGACATTGCTGGGCGACATCAACCCCTAGTCCACTCAGTCTACCCCAGTGGGACCTTCTGGTTGATGGGTGAGTAAGGCCAGTCTTTATCCATCTAGTGTGCTGTAAGGTGTTTCTGACTGCCTCTTTGCCTTTCAGATGCCCTTACCAGGATGATCGTTACCTGACCACATTGGTTCCAGTGGCTGGATCATCTGGTCTTCAGTTCCCAACCCATTACAAGCGCTTTGTTGTGAAGATGTTCGCATTTGTAGATCCAGCATCACTGGCTCCTCTGCAGGAAACGGTACAGTACCCAGTGTGTCAGTTTTCAACTGTGTCTTGGTTCCTAATGCCAGCTTTGGTTCTCGTCTCAGGTCTTCATCCATTGCAGTACAGAGGTGTGCCATCCCTCTTCTGGCTCTTGTCAGCAAAGTTGCTCCAGGCAAAGTCAGTGCTTCCTGTTATTTAAACTGTTTCATTTAGCTTGTGTTTTTAAAAGTTGTTGGAGTTAATTTTATTTCTTTGTTTTCTTTTACTTTTAGGAAGGGGCGTTCGTTTAAACACTACCACTTCTGGCCAAACTGTGGTTTCTAGTGGAGAAGTGAGACTGATTCTATGAGTATTTAATAAATGATATTAAACTTTGACCTTGTCTGACCACATTTTGTGCAACGCTGTGGACGGTTGGAATGTTTATCATATAATTTATCAACAAATAAAGCAAATAGGGTCCATTTTGACTTAATTAGATTTTTGTGACTAAAGCTGCAGCCTCTATAGGTGATTTTTGCAATGTTTCTTTCTGGTCAGTCATATTGTTTTAGAGCCGATATATGATGTCATGATCACAATAGGGTATTATATTTTTCTGTATTCATTTTGTTCAGTTGATGCCTGCCTGTGGAAGCAATGGCTTTTCCTGCTAGGAGAGCACACAACATATGGGATTAGAGACATAACAGCAGGTGACAACAGCATCTTTATTTATTTTTTACCACACTGGCCTCCTGTACAAACACATCCTCCACTATCCTGTCAAAATGTATATTTTAAAGAAACTCTTACCTTATTTATCTCAAATGCATACTAGTTAAGTATCTTGGTGAATCTGAGCACATTGTTGAGATATCTCTTCGAAACTCTACACTTTTAAAAATAAAGGTTCAAAGGGGGCTTTTGCAGTGATACCATTGAAGAACCATTGTGGGTTCCCCAAAAGAACCTATCAGTGAACAGTTTTTTTTCTTTGTGAAGAACATATTAAAAATCTAAAACTTTTTCCACTCTAAAGAACCTTTAGTGGAATAGAAAGGTTCCATAGATGTCAAAGGTCCTTCATGGAACCATTAATGCCAATAAAGAACCTTTATTTTTAAAAGTGGAGATTAATGGGGTCTTTTTCTCAGGTGAAAAATCAGGCCATTGGTAAAAACCTCTATTTGCTGCTTAGGAGAAACAACTGAGATATTAAAGATTTCATTTGTGGTATTTCTTTCCTGTGGAGCGCCGCAGTGTGGATGGCCTATATTTTCTGGTCCAATTGTCTGCATTTTTTATTAACATACTGTCTTACTCTGAAGGCAACTTGTAAAAGTGGAGCTCAACTGACATCCAGGTCAAGAGGATGTGGGCCATAACACTTTTCATTTTGCAGACTCATTGTCAGTCACCAGCATCTCAGTCCAGAGCGGGGGCCCATGGTTTGCCAAAGCTTTTCAAATTTTAATTACTTAATAGTACTTCGATAAAGGTAATTACAGTAAATATATGGTTATTTGATTAAAAAAAAAAGAGGCCCTTGCTGTGAAAAGTGCCACACACACACAAACCCAAGTGATTGTCTGGTTCTTTTTTGGGGCATGTCGTATTGAAGCTTTGCTTGATCACATCATTTTACCAACCAAGCAAAAAAAAAAAAACACTCAGTCTATCACAGTATAGCAAAATCCACTTATCGGATTTACAAAGCGCTGTGTCCAAGGGCCAATCCCTCTAACAGCTTTTAATATCAACATAGTGCCGCACATTTATCTCTCTTTCTCTGTCTATCTCACCGTCTCTCTTGTTTTCCTAATATGCTGACTTCCCCTTTCGTTTTGGCATTTAACTTCAGTTTATGACAAATATTTGTTGTAATGCCACGTGGGTCGCCACAAAATGTCTGATTTACACATGCACGCAAACCAACTGAGGTAAGAACTGGGATTAATTCCACAGATTTATGTAATTCCCTGGTGAGCCTGCTTTTGGCATCTTAAAGGGATAGGTCACCCAAAAGGATTTTTTTTTTTTTTATCACTGTATTATCTATATTATAACTACTAAAGCTTATATTGATTTTATCCAAATATTTTTGTGCCAAACTTGCATTAGTCGTGTCTAAAAAAAGACTTTGGTAATCTGTAGCTGTTGATTTGATAGACATGAACCCACAATCATGACCATGGCTGACTGATGCCCGTAAACATGAAACAGACGGGTGCTCTACAGGAAGTGAAGAGACCAACCTCGATAGTCCGTCTCAGACTGTGTGACATTTAGAGCTGTACATTTAGAGCTAATTTCAGGTGTTTAATGTATATGCACACAGCAGGAGGTGTAATGTCACAGATCATCTCATCCAAGGTGCCAAACTGAACCAATTCATGGTTAATGAATTATCCCAAATTGAAAGCTATTCTTAGCCAGTCTGCCTACTGGACATACTACCGCAGCTCGCATCAAGTACAGCTTTTTAAAGGGATAGAGGGAAACTCTTAAAGGGATTCAAAATGAAAATTCTGTCAACATTTACTCATTTGCAACAGTTAACTGGACCCATTGACTTCCTTATTATTATTTGTTTCCTACTATGGAAGTCAATGGGTCCAGTTAACTGTTGCAAATGAGTAAATGATGACAGAATTTTCATTTTGAAGTGAACTATCAATTTAATACAATAGTCAAGAAAACGTGTTTTTCTGATATCCTTAAAGGTCCCCTGACATGGGGTTATTTTATTATTTTATAATGTTTCCTGGGTTGCCCTTATAATGTTAGTATGTTTTTAGATCAAAAATAGTCATAATTTAGAAATAAAAGGCAATTTTCCTAGCCTGATTTTAGCCTCTAATTTGAATGCTCTGTTTGAAGGGGCGTGTCTGCTGTGGGATTCAGTGTAGCCGGCCACTGCTGTGATTGGCTGACATGCTTGCATATGAAATAGCTACATATTACATGTGAAACTCTCTTGAATACTTTTACTACAGCGATTATACGTTTTTACTATTACAGCTATCGAGATTAACGAATTGTGAGAAGTTTTTTAAGTATTTAGATCTATTCCCATCACATAAAATGTTGCCGTGATGAGCATTGAGCAGATGACAGTCTGTTGATCGCGAGAATGAAAATCTTATTATTGCAACGCAGTTTCTGCTCTCTCTAATGCTTTCACCAATGCAAACACGATGATGAAAATACAGTAAGAGCTTCGTTGTGCAGTGTAACGTGTGTCATTGATTTCATAACGAGTTGTCCAGATAAACTCGGGCTGTGTGGAAAAAGATTGTTCTTTGATCGCTTTCTGTATAATTTGTTCAGAATTTAAATAAGATTATTTTCATCCTACTAAAAGAAACGATGTGAAGTTGCTATTTTAGTCACTGGCTTGACTTACTGATGCATAAACAGTATTGAATGATTTTGAGAGAAAGATTAACTTACCTGTCTGAACTTGAACAATTAGGCTACACATCAGAAATTGTTGCTTGGTAGCTCGATCGATTTATTTTCAGACGTTCATCGAGTTGAGGAAACAGTCGTCGGTGTTTGGACCATATACAAAACTTTGGGAAGTTGTGTCGGCGCATTTCCAGAGAAAATCAAATTAGCCCACTGTTTCTTCAGAGGCTCGGATGAAGGAACTAAAAAATACTTTTGTGTTCATTTGTACATCCGAACACTGATCAACTGCCATGCTTCGCTCGTTTGCAAGCCATGATATCTCTCGAGGAAAAACTCAAATCTCAAAGCTATTTCTCTAGGAAAAACTAAAATCGCGCCGGTGCGTTCGTACTTCCTGTACCTAGCTCGTTTTCTCATGGGCAAGCCAAATTCTCCGGGCGGGCAAAGCAAAGAAAGGGGAGGTAACCTTTCCTCGTTATGACGTCATAACGAGGAGATTCAAGATCAGCGCGTCTGAGCTGCAGAGAAGAGAAAAATAGCCAAAGCTCGGTTTACATATGGGTTTACACCGATTGAAAATTCTAGACACGAGGGGACCAAATACAGGCTAGGGGAACTAATATTAATGTTAAAAAACCTCAGAAAGTGAAAATTTTATGTCAGGGGACCTTTAAAATATAATCAAACCAAATATATAATGCATTTTGACAGCATCCATTAGTAAATGGGCTGCCATTAAAATAAACATCCTCTTTGTGTTGTCAGCGTCCCGATGTCTCAACAGATAAAAACCCTCTTAGGCTGTCAGAGATTTTATTTTTCTTGTTTCATCTCCAGCTTTTTACTAAAACCGTTGATACATGCTGACTTCTTGGTAACGTATGTATTCTAATTTCTAACTTTATTATTGACAAATATTTTGCTTGTCCTGAAAATGACCATGTTTGTTTTTTTTGTTTTTTTGTTAAAGCTGATTATATATAATAATAATAATATATAAATGTAAAAAATAACCCTGGAAATGACGAATGATGGACAGTTCTTTTTTTTTTTTTTTTTTTTTTTTATATAATTCATGAAATAAATTCTATAAATAATGTTGAAAAGTTTGTGACTTCATATAGAACAAATTTAAAAGTTGAAAAAAGGTTGTTCTTTATAGTTCTTTTTAATTTTAAAACCACATCTCTATTTCTTAGTCCATCAAATCCTTTGCTTCTATTCCTTATTTTTCCAGATGTTTATTATGCAACAGCTTTTTTGTTTAGACCCGCATCATTTCAGTTACTGAAACACTGCTTAATTCAGAATCCTGTTGGCTTTACCATGATTTTTTTATGATAATCCTCTAATCTTGTTATGTTGATGGCTGTGTGAGTTGAGCAACATGCACAGATGTAATCTCACCCGTTTACTCCTGGTGTCTGTTATTTGCGTTGTTTCCTAGGCTGCTGATAGTCTGAATGACGGGCATCTCATAAAAGGAGCTGCAGAGCCACACACTGATTTACTCTATGTAAAATTGTAGCAGCTCATGCTCTAAAAACGGTCCCACTTTTAGGACACTATTGGTTGCCACACGAGAGAGTCCCCTTCGAGTCGACCTATTTAAACACATCCTACACTGAACTCAGACTGGGTTATACAACAGTCTGGAGGTTAGTCAATGAGTGAGTTTATATATGTGCAACAAAACACTGATAACTATGAAACATCAGCTTATTGTGAACCCAGAATATGCAAACAACACTGAACCTCACTGACTTTCATCGTATGGACAAAAAGACTTTGTATCCACACAAAAAAAGAAAGTCATACAGGTTTAGAACGACATGGGGGTGAATAAATGATGACAGAAGTTAAAGTTGCCCCTATTATGCTATTTTAAAGGTTCCTAATTTTGGTTTGGAGGTCTCCTAATAGATTTACATGCATCGAAGGTAAAAAAATCAATAAATAAAAAACACTTT